AAGGAGTACTTGTCATGGGACATCATACCCGTCTTTGGCTAAAAATGCATCATGATTAAGGCCAGCCACATGGGTAATGCCAGCCCGTGACAGTCTTAGTCTCTGCCTAACTCCGTTAGCCAAGCGTGGGCAACCAGAGGGGGTCCTGGGGGTGTCCGTAATCATGAGGAGGTGGGCCGTGGCACTTCCCTGGGTCCTCTGTCACCAAATTATCTGGCAAAGACATTTAAAGATAAGCATTATCAAGAGATACAAGCAAGTCATGGCATAGGACACCCTAAAATACTTCTGAGACCATGTACCTTTTAGCCAATCAGCTAGTTGCCTGAAAGGCAAAGAGACTTACTGGCAATGAAGCCAAGGAACTGACTCCTTCATCTCAGATGGATATAAATAGAGGAATTTGTCTCATGAACTATTGTCCATAGACTGTCATGCTAGTCAGTCGGATCCTGGCCGACCCACTTAAGGTTTTTTGCAGTCACCCATATGGGGTTTGAATCTCCTGTAGAGTAGACACAGCCAAAGCCTCGACCCATGGTTAACAATGGATCTGGGCCTCTCCATTGCCCCGTAATCTGGTCCTTCCATCTTACCCGTATTTCCCCTTTTTGTTTTTGTAATTGAATTTTTAGGTTTTGATGGTTGCATTCTATAATGGCTTGACCTTGGAGATTGTAGGGAATTCCTGTATTGTGTTGAATTTCCCAAAGTGAAAAAGAAATCTTGTAAATTTTTACTCACAAAACATGGTCCAGTATCAGTTTTAATTCTTTGGGGGCAGTCCCAACATAGCAAAGCCCTGGAGAAAATGAGACTGAGCATGTTTAGACTTCTCTCCTGTGTGAGCGGTAGCCCAACAGGCATGTGAGAATGTGTTGATGGACACAAAAATATACTTAAGCTTTCCAAAAAGAGCACAGTGTGTGACATCCGTTTGCCACAAGGAATTGGGCTTGAGTCCCCTGGGGTTTACCCCTGGCTGTTGCAGAGGCAGTACTTGTAGAAAGGTTGACAAGACTTACAGGTATGTACAGTCTTCTTTAGGTTCTTGATGGGAACTTGAGGAAACCTCTTATGGAGTCCCCGCCAATTTACATGAGTGAGGTTATGTAACCCCTGAACTTCATTCAGGCCTGCTGACAGAACCTGGGTGGAAGCCACCTTGTCTGCCTCTGCATCGCCTTGGGATAAAAGCCCAGGCAATCCTTGGTGCCCCCTAAGATGCTGTAAGAAGATAAGGGCTTCTTTCTCTTGAGCTGAGCCATCACACGTGTGGACATATCTTTTTGGTTTCTCATCTGCCCCCAGGTATACTATCACTGCAGCTCCATATCTTCCCCTGTCAGTGAAAAAACATTGTAGGCTTTTACTAAGGGCTCCCTCGGCCCTGGATTTGGCGCGCACTGCTGCCGACAGGGCTGTAACACTTGGGGGTGGGGTGGATCCCTGGCAGCCTTTGGAACAGATGGGACCCACCCCCCCAGCCACTTTCCCCAAACCGGGCCTTCCCAGCTGTCCTGGAGCCGGTTGTGGTGCACAGCCAACGGTGTTTTTTTGTTTTGTTTTGTTTTGTTTTAAATGCACCCGGGGGCTGCCGCCAGTCACCAGCCAAAGGGTAGTTCAAGGTGGGTCGGGTGGGCGGCTTTTGCCGCCAACCCCGTGGGCTCCGCTCCATCCCACCCTTCTGAAAAAGGCACCCATGGGTCCTGTTTTCATGGGTCCCGGGAGGCTCAGAAGCTGGCCAGGGCATGCCCAAGGTGCTGCTTATTACTTTGGCTGCTTTTGGTTTCACTTCTGTTGTATTTCCATGTTCTTCTTCAAACTCTTCCCATGATTCCCATGTATCCCCAGTAAAAACATTAGCCCCAAGTAGCCAAGGAGCCAAATGAATAGTCTCTCCCCAAACCTTTTGAGCTACCAGATCTGATAGATCCAATCCCCTGCTTTTAAGCATATCTCTCAACGCTTTAAGCGTGGGGTCCTCAGACTTATTGATCACGTTACCCATCTTTTGGGTATCGCTTACCCCGAACTTCCCGATTGGCCCCAATCCGTTTTTCTTCTTCCTTTCTTTTCTTCTTTCCACCTTCACCTTCCTTCGAGTGCCACGCTGGGTGCCAGTTGTGGGGGGTTCGAGCCAGCAACCCCTGCACAGTGATGGTTGGGGATGAGTAAATGCACCGTTTGCCAGCCCACGCCATCCCCAGTACCGGGAACACTCAGGTGCAACGGGGAGTCTAGTCAAGAAGGAACTCATTTATTGCAGGTGTTACAGATCTTATAAAGGCACCTGAAAGTCCCCCCCCCCCCCCACCGAGGGTGTATCTTAAGGATGGTCACGAGTTGATCATGCACTCTTCAACAGTGTGGAAGTATTCTTCAGACTTTCAAAGCAAGTCAGGCCACGCCCCAGTAACTTCCTCTTGGACCTCTGCAAGGTGGGGCCTTTAGGTCCCCACAGGTTTATAGTAATGTATTGATACCTGGTAACCTAAGTCCTCCTGCTTTGGTCTTCCTTTTAAGATTTCTTTGCCTCTTTGCCCTGTGCATTTCCTTTTTTAAAAGATATATTTTGCTGGGCGTGGTGGCGCATGCTTTTAATCCCAGCACTTGGGAGGCAGAGGCAGGCAGATCTCTGTGAGTTCAAGGCCAGCCTAGTCTACATAGTGAGTTCCAGGACAGCTGGGGCTACAGGGAGACCCTGTCTCAAAAAGACCAAAAAAAAAAAAAAAAAAAAAAAAAAAAAAAAACAAAGAATCATCTAATACATCTTCATAGAAACTGTGGGTAAACTGAGGCAGGGAACATTGACTCATTCCTAGGGTTGTGAGTGTGGAGAATTGAAGAGCAGGGGACAACTTGCTCCTCGTCCTGGTGAATCCCGAAAGCTTAGGACTTCTCTCAGCTAATTCGAGTAGCACTTAGAAGTCTAGGTGGTTTTGTTTTGTTTTGTTTTGTTTTCCCCTCCTCAGCCATTCTGTCCTCTCGCATAGGTAGCCCACTCAGGAACCCGAGTGAGGTCTTAGCCACTCTGGCTGCCCCCCAACTGACAGGTTTCGTTCTCAGTCTGAGCTAACAAAGCATGAAGAAGCAGCCCAACACTGCACATGTCCTGACGCAGCTGTTGGCTTAAACTCACACCTGTTCTGTTCTTTCCAGGTCTATAAAGGAGAATTTCAACTACCTGATTTTCTGAAAGAAAAACCCCAGGTACTGTACACTGCTTTTGCTTCCTCCTCTTTTATAAGAGATGGGTTCTTTTATCAAAGTAAGCTTTTAAAGAGGCAATGAAAATTTTAAAAAGATGAAAACAAGAAAATAAAAGCCAAATGTGGTGGCTGATGCCTATGATCCCAGCACTCAATTGAGGCAACTGAGGTCTATAATCCCAACACCAAAGTTCCAAGGCCATCCTGGGCTATGTGTTGGAATTCTAGGCCAGCCTAAGCTACAAAGTGAGATCCACATTCAATCAGTCTAATCCATCAGTCAGTCAGTCAGTCAGTCAGTCAGTCAAGAAAACAGAAAACAGAAAAAGATAGCATCTGTTGGTAGTAGCAAATGGTGGGGTATGAGAGAGCGTGGGTCTTCCAAAGCTATGGCAATGCTGTGTTGATAGCAAATCTGATTGCTGGAGGCCACACACTGCACCACAGTATTTCACATGTAAATAGGAAAGTGCTGCCTTGGAGAGTTTGCCCAGCTTCCAAGCATGTGTTTTGCATTAAGATTGCACAGTCAGCCACTTATGGTGGTGTATACCTTTAATCCTAGAACTTGGGAGGGAGAGGCAGGCAGATCTCTCAAATTGAGCCCAGCCTGGTCTACACAATAAGTTCCAGACCAGCTGGGGCTACAGGGAGACCCTGTCTCAAGAATCCAATGCCCCCTGCCCCACCCTGAAAAAAGACTAAAATTACAACTGTAATGTCTCAACTCGGTTTGCATTCCAGTTTTGTGTCCTGAGTTGGAGCAAAGCAGAGTGCTATGGTGATGAAGCCTCAAGTAGCAGAGAGAACCTCCTGCCATCACCAATCTCTGTGTGATGGTGGGAGACATGGACAATTACTGCTTGGCCACAGCAGCCCTACTATCTGCAGGGCCAAGTCCTACAGGGGCCTTGCTGTCCAGCACAGCTGAGGCCTGCTATCTCCAGGATGCTGCCATCCATATTCAACTCAGTTTCTAACACTGTTCTAGATATGATTGCTAAGGGAACTCTGCTTCACAGGCTTGTGTGGAACCATGTTTACACAGCAGGCCTAGAGTAAGCGAGCTACCCTCTAGAGCTCAGAGGTACTGTCTCCCACCAGAGATGAAGGCTCTGTCCTAGCTGACCACTGCTGCCATGTGAGTGCTGGGATTCGAACCCAGGTCTTCTGTAAGAACAACCAGTGTTCTTAACTGCTGAGCCATCTCTCCAGCCCTATGATGAGTTTTAATGAGTAAATATGCCTAGCTCTGGTGTGGTAAATTATCCATCCTTAAATTCATGATTGGTATTTTTATACCAATCAAGCACCCAGTAATGATACCTGGTGCCAGAGCGCTTCAAAGCACTCTCAAGGCATACTCTTACCAGCATAGATTTACTATTCCCTCTTATTGATTTGGTTCAACAAATGTTTGTCAAGTGTCTGTTATGAGTGAGAAATTTAAGTCCTCGAGTTGGAAGGAAAAAAAAGATTTTTTTAAGGAACTCCAGATCTCTCTGAAAGACTTTAATGACTCTGGCAGAAAGGAACATGCAGAACCTGGTCTAGGCTGAGCATGGCATCCCAGAGACCCCAGGGAGATGCTTGAATAGACCATTACTTACAGGCTGCGGAAACTGGAGCCAAGGATTGGTTCGGGAGTTATGAGAAGCTTGAAGGAGCCAGGAAAGGGGGTTTGAGACTGAAGCTGAAGGCTTCAGCACAGCCAGGTCACTTCCAGGTGAAGCATGAAGTGGTTAGAAACATGCAAGAAAGTGTACTCATGTTCTTAAGAAGGAAAGACTTCTTTAGTCATAAATTTGAATGAATTTAAGGGTGGATAATTTACCACACCAGAGTTGGGAATATTTACTCATTAAAACTCATCATAGGGCTGGAGAGATGGCTCAACAGTTAAGAACACTGGTTGTTCTTGCTTGAGAGCATCAGATCCCCTGGAATTGGAGTTACAGACAGTTGTTAGCTGCCATGTGAGTGCTGGGATTCGAACCCAGGTCTTCTGTAAGAACAACCAGTGTTCTTAACTGCTGAGCCATCTCTCCAGCCCTATGATGAGTTTTAATGAGTAAATATGCCTAGCTCTGGTGTGGTAAATTATCCATCCTTAAATTCATGATTGGTATTTTTATACCAATCAAGCACCCAGTAATGATACCTGGTGCCAGAGCGCTTCAAAGCACTCTCAAGGCATACTCTTACCAGCATAGATTTACTATTCCCTCTTATTGATTTGGTTCAACAAATGTTTGTCAAGTGTCTGTTATGAGTGAGAAATTTAAGTCCTCGAGTTGGAAGGAAAAAAAAGATTTTTTTAAGGAACTCCAGATCTCTCTGAAAGACTTTAATGACTCTGGCAGAAAGGAACATGCAGAACCTGGTCTAGGCTGAGCATGGCATCCCAGAGACCCCAGGGAGATGCTTGAATAGACCATTACTTACAGGCTGCGGAAACTGGAGCCAAGGATTGGTTCGGGAGTTATGAGAAGCTTGAAGGAGCCAGGAAAGGGGGTTTGAGACTGAAGCTGAAGGCTTCAGCACAGCCAGGTCACTTCCAGGTGAAGCATGAAGTGGTTAGAAACATGCAAGAAAGTGTACTCATGTTCTTAAGAAGGAAAGACTTCTTTAGTCATAAATTTGAATGAATTTAAGGGTGGATAATTTACCACACCAGAGTTGGGAATATTTACTCATTAAAACTCATCATAGGGCTGGAGAGATGGCTCAACAGTTAAGAACACTGGTTGTTCTTGCAGAAGACCTGGGTTCGAATCCCAGCACTCACATGGCAGCTAACAACTGTAACTCCAGTTCCAGGGGATCCGACGGCCTCTTCAGTCCTCCGGGGGCATTGCACAACACACAACATGGTTGCACTTACCTACATGCAGGCAATACACTCATACAGATAAAATAAAAATAATTAATAAAATATTAAAAAAAAAAAAAACAACTCATCATAGCTGGGCATAGTGGCACACACCTGTAATTGCAGCTCTGGGGAGGCAAAGACAGAAGGATGACAAGTTCAAGGCCATCCTGATCTACAGAGCCATACTCCTCTCAAAAACATAAACATTATCTCAAACAAAACAAAACAAAAATCTGTACTAAGTAGTAGAAAAGAGGCCTTTTTAGGATACATTTTTTAATTATTATTATTTTTTTTTTGGTCTTTTTGAGACAGGGTCTCCCTGTAGCCCCAGCTGTCCTGGATTCACTATGGAGACCAGGCTGGCCTTGAACTCCCAGAGATCCGCCTACATCTGCCGCCCAAGTGCTGGGATTAAAGGTGTGTGCCACCACACCCAGCCTATTTATTTATTTTTAATGGTATTTTTATTTTATGTGTATGAGTGTATTGCCTGCATGTAGGTAAGTGCACCCGTGTTGTGCAATGCCCACAGAGGACAGAAGAGGCCGTCAGATCCCCTGGAACTGGAGTTTTCGGACAGTTGTTAGCTGCTCTGTTAGGTCTTCTGCAAGAACAGCCAGTGTTCTTAACTGCTGAGCCATCTCTCCAGCCCCAAGATACATTTTTTTAAACACAAGACTGTCCAAAAAGTCAATAAGAAAAAGTTTTTTTATTAATTGTCAAAAGACTTGGTAAGCACTTCAGAGCGGCACACTGTGGTGACTGTTTAATCTGTTATACACACACGTTTAGAAAAGATTGTAGGGGCTGAAGAGATGGTTCAGCGATTAAGAACACTGACTGTTCTTGCAGAAGTCCTGGGTTCGAATCCCAGCACCCACATGGCAGTTAACAACTGTCTGTAACTCCAGTTCCAGGGGATCCGACAGCCTCTTCTGTCCTCCGTGGGCATTGCACAACATGGGTGCACTTATCTACATGGAAGCAATACATGCATACACATAAAATAAAAATAATAAAAATTTTTTAAAACCCTCAAAAAAAAGAAAAGGTTGTATAACAGGTTCTGGTTTAAATAGAAAATGTGCTGGCACATTCCTGTAATCTCAGCACTTAAGAAATTCAGGCCGGAGGATCAGGAGTTCAAAGTCATCCTCAGCTACATAGAGAGTTCAAGGACAGCTAAGGCTATATGAGACTGTTGAAAAGAGAAAAAGGAAAGGAAAAAAAAGGAAGGAAAGAAGGAAAAGAAAGAAAAAAGAGGGGATGGAGAGATGACTGGTGATTAAGAGCACTGACTGTTTTTGCAGAGGACCTGGGTTTGGTTCCCAGCACCCACATGATGGTTAGCAACCATCCATAACTTCAGTTCCAGGGGATCTAGTGTGCTCTTCTGACCTTCATGGGTATTGCACAACACGGGTGCATGGCAATACACACACATATATAAAAAATAATAATAATAAAATATTTTTTTAAAAAAAGGCTGGACGTGGTGGTGCATGCCTGACTCCAAGAATTTTTAAACACCTGTGTCCCTTCCTCCAACAGACTGAGCAAGTGGAGTAACCAAGCCCAGAACATCTCACAAGTGAGGTGAGGCTTGGTGGGTGCTCCTGGGTGAGGGATTTCCCATTTGGGCTCTCTGAGGCAGCTGTGTGTCCAGGGTTGGCATCTGGCTCTGTCAGTTCTTGCATGGCATTGAGCAACCTAACTCTGTGTCTTTGTTTCCTGATCTGTAAAATGGAGAGGATGTTACCAGAGAGCCATCGTAAGATCTAACTGAAATGATATCTTCAGAGAGTCTGGCTCAGGGATGATGTTAGGAAGAGGACTTTGGCATTACGGAACATGTCAGCGAGAGTAATCTAGAGACCCAGAAGCCCCTGCCCCTGTGTGCTGATGAGGAGAGTGAGCCCAGAGAGCCATCATTTGTCTGATTGTGTCACAGAACATCTCTCAGCATCCAGCCGGGGTCCAGCCAGGTTCCTGCCACCTCCAAGCTTTCTCTGTGCTGGACCTACAAACGTTTTTGTACTCACACCTGTGTTTTGGGGTTGGTTGGCTTGCTCATTTTAAATATATTGTGATGTCTTTTCTCTGTAACTGTGCTGCTTCACTGTGGCCAAGCCCAAGTGAGAGCCAGGCCAGCTGGGCCTTTTGATAATCCTTCTTTCTGAGTGTGTGCATTGTCAGAGCTCAGTCAGGGCCACCAAGGCCTGGTGTGACATGGCTGTTGGAGCTCACACGTGCCCAGACTTCCTGAGAATGCCGATTGACCCTGAGTGATGTGTGCTGGATGTGTGTTAGATGATTTGGAACTTGAAAAGCTTCTCTAAAAATCAGATACTGATATTTTTTTCCTCATAAATTTTGCTTGCTCCTTTTTTGTTGTTGTTGTTGTTGGAAACAGGGTCTCACTATGTAGCTCTAGTTGGCCTAGAACATGCTATGTAGACAAAGCTGTCCTCAAACTCAGAGATTTGCCTGCTTCCACCTCTCGAGTGCTGAAATTAAAGGTGTATGCCACCATGTTCGACATTTTTGTTTTTAGTTTTATTTCATAGGGCTAAGAATGTAGCTCAGTTGGTAAAGTACTTGCATGGCATACACAAGGCCCTGCATTTGATATGGAATACCACATAAACCATGTGTGCTGGTAAATGCCTGTAATCCCAGCACTAGAGAAATGGAGGCAGAAGGATCAGAAGTTCAAGACTGGGCCTACAAAGATGGCTCAGTGGTTAAAAAAGCACTTGGTGCTCTTGCAGTAGATCCCAGATCAGATCCCACTACATATACATGGTAGCTCATAACTACCTATAACTCCAGCTTCAGGGGGTCTGACACCCTCGTCTGGCACTCCATGCATGTGGTGCGCTTATATCCATGTAGGCAAAACACTCATACGTAAAAAAAAAAAAAAGGAAGTTCAGGTCATCCTTGGGCATATAGTTTGAGGCCAGCCTGAGCTACATGAATCTCTTGTCTCAAAAAATTTTTATTTTATATAATAACCATACCAAGCATATATATGTGTGTTATATGTTATGGGACATACATGGTGTACAGTATACAGAATGATACTGATCTTGTCTATTCTCACAGTGATCTGGCAAGTATGTGGCTACCACCCCTGTTGTGCCAGATGGAAAACCTAGTTTGGATGATTTGAGTGATTCTTTTCTTAAAAATTATTTTAGTGTATGTGTTTTGCCTGAATGTATGTAAGTACACCTGTGTCCTGCAGTGCCCACAGAGGCCACAAAGTGTGTCAGATCCCCTGGAACTGGAGTGATAGATGGTTGTTAGCCACTACGTGGGTGCTAGGAACTGAACCAGGGCCCTTTGCAAGAGCAGCCAGTGCTCTTAACCACTAAGCCTTCTCTCCAACCTTGATTTTAGTGATTCTTATGACTTACTGTGCATCAATGGAGCTCACTGCCATGCCAGAGTCACAGTTGTCGGGGAGCTTATGCTGTTAGCAGATTTCAGGATTGCTGTTGACTTTTCAATAAAGAGCATGTTCTGGGTGTTACCCAAATGCTTTCAAAATATGTAGGCAATACCCACCCTGCCAGTAGACCCACAGGGATTTTTTTTTCAACTGGCCTGCTGTTTCATCAAGCAGAGTGCATGCCCCTTGACCCCAGCCTGAGCATGGCGTCCATGGTCACAGTTCACCCTGGCTTGCTTATGGGGCTGGTAGGCACCCATAGGCAGTGGGAGAAGGATTCTAGAAAAGCTGGAGGAGAAGCTAAGTGTCTTAGGACAGACACTAGTGTTTGCTCTGGTTTAAGAGCCCTCTCCGACCTTTGACATTTGCATCACTGTGTTCTCTGAAGCTCCTTTTAAAGAACTTCAGTGTCCACTATTTTTATTTTATTTTTGTCTGTATATGCATGTGGAGGTTAGAGCACAACCTGCAGGAATTGGTTCTCTCATTTAACTATGTGGATCCCAGGGATTGAACTCAGGTCTTCAGTGTTGGTGGCAAGCAACTTTACCTACAGAACCATATCTCTGGCCCTAGTCCACTCTTTCATGTAATGAAAAGTTAGCATAGTGACCCTGGACATTGGATGCCAGAGCCCCTACGGTAGTGTCAGGTGCAGGGGACCCTTGCCATCATTAGAAAGGGTCTGGTAGCCCTTGCTTTTGCTGCCAGCTGCTTATTTTGTGCCTGGAAGGAACATACAAGTGGGAAAGTGCGCCCTTCTGGCAGTCTCTCAGAGGCACGGTGCTCATAATTGATTGCCCATCCTCCTGCCCCTGAGCTGCAGGAGCCCACTGATCCCTCTAGCATAAAGGGGAAAGCCCACAGGGATGGTGCAGGTACATCAGCTTCGATCTCTGCTTATAACCATGTGCTGTGTGTTTGCCCTAGGAATGCCTGCTGCCTTTCCTACAAAAGGGAAATCTCCAGAACTAGCCATCCCCTGCTGGGAACAGTGGGGTTCCTGCACTCACCGCTCCTCCCCCTGAGGGAGGTGTCACAAGTCTGGGCCTCCCTGAATGATCTGCTTCCTGAGTGACATGCACAGCCCTGGGGATGAGGAGCCCTGGGGACACAGGCAGCAACACGCAGCCCTGTGGATGAGGAGCCCAAACGGGATTTGGTTCTATGACAGCTCCTCCTCTCTTCTTACCAGATTCCAAACTTGTATTTCAAAGTGACAGTTTAAAGATGGCATTTTGTTAGCAAAATTGGGCAGTTTTGTTTGGAATAGATTGTCTGTCCATGTTCCAGTGTTTTGTAGAGCACTCGTGCCTGTTTAAATTTATTGATGTGGAGAATAGTAAATATCTTAATTATTTAAATAATTCACTGTATTGTTTCGGAGAAGTTGGGAAATTACCATATACATTTACAATCTAATGACTTTTGTATTTTATTTTTCAAAATAAAAGCTTAAACGTGAAGCATTCTAGTAGGTATGTGTTTTCAGCACAATGATTGAAAGACACACAAGAAAGACCTTCTCAAGTGGTTTCCTCAGTGGGCTGTGTTACAGGTGCTCCCCTCTGGGCACCAGCATTTTCTTTCTCTTTTCTCTCTCTCTCTCTCTCTCTCTCTCTCTCTCTCTCTCTCTCTGTCCCTGCGCGCGCACCCGCTCTTGCCTGTGCTTGCATGTGTGGAAGCAAGAGGTTGATGTCAGGTGTCTTCCTCTGTCACTCTTCACCTTACTTTTGGAAGAAGGTCTCCAGTGAACCTGGAGCTTGTGGTTCTGGCTGGCTAGCCATCCCCAGGAATCTACCTATCTCCACTTCCGCAGCACTGGGGTTACTGAGGCAAGGCACCACTACCACGCCTGTTCTTTAGGTGGGGACTGGGGATCCAAACTCAGGTCCTCCTGCTCATATAGCAAGCACTTTACCCAGAGAACCATCTCCGCAGCCCCTGGGCATCATCATTCTTAGTGATGTTTTCTGTGACATTTCAAAGACCTATTGCCATCCATTTTAGAGTCCTCTTCTATTTCACACTGACATGCTGTGTTTAAGGTCAAAGAAGTTAACTTTTTCCAGGAAGCCATTATTGTGGAACCCAGAATAACTAGATAATAATAATCACATTTATTGATTCAGTTCCATGTGCCAGGCACTGAACAAGATGTGCTATGTTATCCCAGGCTTAACCTGTACTCTTTCTAGTCCTCTCCACGTCACTGACTGCAATACTTTCTGCCTTTTCACTCACCCAGAAACCTACAAATCATCCTGGATTACACTTCCTTCCCACCCACGCATGGAGAAGACCTTTGATCCTACAAAGTATTTACTTAACTAGCTCCTTTGCCCCTGCCCTAATCAAAGACCTCACCATCTGTCCCTCCCTAGACTATTACAGAAGATAATCTCCTAAACGGTATCTCCAGCCCCACTCTTCACCTGACCCTGCTCACTTAACACCCCTCCCTGAGATCAGAGCCCTCAGGCCTGCTGTGATCTAGCCCCAGCTCTCTGCTCTATCTCACCCTGGAATGTCTCCTCTTTGCTCCTGGCCTGGTAGCCTCCTCAGCCTCTGGCCTCTGGGAGTTCTGTGTCCTTGGGGAGAATTTCCCTGGCTGTTTGTTTTGTTTTGTTCATACAGTATCCCAGTAAGTAGCCCTGGCTGGCCTGGAACTCACAGTATAGGCCAGGTTGGCCTCGAACTTACAATGTGGCCCTGGCTGGCCTGGAACTCACAATGTAGACCAGATTGGCCTTGAACTCACAGAGATCCATTTGCCTCTGACCCCAAATGCTGGGATTAAAGGTGTGTGCCACCACACCTAGCTTTCCCTGGCTCTTGAATTTAGACACCTGTGTTACATTAAAAATTTTATTTTTTAATATTTTTATTAATTCTTTGAGAATTTCATATAGTGTATTTTGATCATATTCAACCCCTCCCCCATCATCTCAGAGCCACCCCATCTTTCTATTAACCCCCAACTTTAAGTCCTCTTTTTCCAAAAAATTATTTACTATTATTTTTGATTGATTGATTGATTGATTGATTGATTGATTGATTTTTGCCTTTTTGCCTTTTTGAGACAGGGTCTCTCTGTAGCCCCAGCTGACTTGGAACTCACTATGTAGATCAGGATGGCCTTGAACTCATAAAGATCCGCCTGCCTTTGCCGCCCAAGTGCTGGGATTAAAAGCATGAGCCACCACACTCAGCTATTTTTTGTTTTTATTTTATGTGTGTGAGTGTATTGCCTGCATGTATGCAAGTGAGGTGTTGTGCAATGTCTGCAGAGGTCAGAAGAGGGCGTTGGATTCCCCTGAAACTAGAGTTAGGAATGGTTGTTAGCTGCCATGTGGGTGTTAGGAATCGAGCCCCAGTCCTCTGCAAGAGCAGCTAGTGCTCTTAACTGCTGAGCCATCTCTCCAGCCCCTCTTTGTTTTTTGTTTCTTTTTTTAAGCCCATGGAGTCCAATTTGTGTTCCCCAAATACTCTTGGCGTGTGGAGCCACCCCTGGAGCATGATCAACCTACCAGGGATCACATGTTTAAATAAAAAAAGATTTGTTTTTAATTGTTTATGTGTGTGCCTATGTGTTTATATGTCAGTACAGTGCCCACAGAGGCCAGAAAAGGGCATCAGATCCCCTAAAGCTGGAGTTATAGGTGTTATAGGAAGGATCAGCCAGGGCACCAGGAATGTATAAGGAGCAGGTATTTTATTTAGGCTGCAGTCTGGTTCAGCAAGCTCAAGCCTCAAAATCTGGAACCTCAATGGTAGTGGTACATACCTTTTATACTTTAGGCATTGAATTACAGTGAGAAGGAAATATACATACTGATTGGCTATTAGTACAGTCTCAAAATTAGGCAAATTATTATAAATTTAGAAAGAAAACAAATGTTTAAAAACAATCCCGTCTGAAAATCATTGCAGAAGTCTCCATGTGAGACAAACAGAATTGAGGAAGTTTTGTCAGGACACAAGGCCAGTGGTTCTAGCTACCTATGTTAGCATGCTAACCACAAACTTGTCAGCTGAACCTTGCTGACAGAGACAGAGGGAGAAAAGGATTGAAATCCACATTTTCCTTAATATTTCATTAGGCTGTACATCACAGGTAGTTGTGAGCTACCAGGTATGGGTGCTGGGAACTGAACTCAGGTCCTCTGTAAGTGCAGCCAGCACTCTTAACCACTGAGCCATCTTTCCAGTCCTTTTATTAGTTACTTTTGCATCATCATGACCAAACTACCTAACAGAAACAATTTACAGGAGGAAGGTTTATTCTGACTCAGAGTTTCAGAGATATCTCAGCTGTACCATGGCAGGGAAGGCATGGTAGAGCAGCTGTAGCAGTGGGAATGTAGGGCAGAGGCTGTTCACATCATGGACAACCAGGAAACAAGAGTGGCCAGAATTAGGATGGGTTCAACCTTCAGAAGCCTGCCCTGTAAGAATGTAATGTGAGAACCCAGCCTCTGCTAGGTCACAATCCCTGCAGCAACCCTTCCTCTTTCATAGTCTCTAGCTAACAGACTTCCAGGTACTAGGATCTCACCTGGAGAAGTGAGTTTTCATTTTCCTCTCTATCCCCTTTCCTGCCTCCTGCCTGGGAATCAGAAAGCCCAGCTGCAGGTGTGGTGTGAAACCTCCTCCATTCTCAGAGCTATAAGAAGGGACCCCCCCACACACACTCCTTCTTGTCTCTAGTACTGGGGCTTGAACTCTCCCCAGAGTCCCCACCATGCTGTTGCCTCTCTGTCTGTCTGTGGCTTTAACAGTTCTGAATACATTCCTACCCCTGACAGTCCTCTCAGTGTCCTCTGGAACCCACATCTGAGGCCTCCTACCCCTCTAATGTCTTACTAATACCTCCCTCCTATAGGAGGGAACCCACTCACAGCTGACCACACATCTATGACCTGGCCTCTCCACTCTCCACCCACATTGACATGCCTTTTTTCAGGTCTAATTATATTTCTTTTGGACTGACTGTAGTTCAGGCTGGCCTCAAACTTAAAGCAATCCAGGATTACAGATGTAAGCCACCATGCCTGGCTTTGGGTCCAAGAATATTTCTCTTGAGCTTTATAAAGAAAGGTATTTCCACATGGCATATGAGATCCTCTTCCCTGTGGCCTTGATCCCCATTTATTTGTTTATATTTGCTTTTTGAGACAGGATCTCATTCTGTAGCCCAGCTGGCCTGGAACTCACTTATATGGCCCAGGTAGAACTCAGCTTTATAAAAAAAGGTATTTCCACATGGCATATGAGATCCTCTTCCCCATGGCCTTGATCCCCATTTATTTGTTTATATTTGCTTTTTGAGACAGGATCTCATTCTGTAGCCCAGCTGGCCTGGAACTCACTTATATGGCCCAGGTAGAACTCAAATTCATGGTGATCCTCCTGCTTCACCTTCCCAACTGTCCTTAAACATTTTATAGATGATTTATATTTGAAAAGTGAAGATTTCATGGAATCAAATGAAACACTTTAGAATAAATGAAGAAGCCAGCATAGTGGTGCACACCTTTAATTCTAGCATGCAGGAGGCAGAGGCAGGTGAATCTCTGTTAGATCAAGGCCATTCTGGTCTACATAGTAAGTTCCAGGGCTACATAGTGAGACCCAGTCTCAAAAGAAAATATTCTATTCCATCTCCACTGTTACCCTTTTGGGTAGATACTGTGCGGTGACCTATATTTGCTGAGATAATGAAACATCAACTCAGGGAAACAAAATGCCTTACGCAAGGATGCCCATTGAGTGAGGGGTTGGGTACAAACGCAGGCACCCTGGCTCCAGAGCCTGAGTCTTAACTACCACTGTACCCACTGTAGCCCTCAATGGCTGCCTGAACACAAGAATAGAACCCCATCATTAGTACCAATGATAACTGTTTAAATATATCCCTTGGACTTAGTAACTTCGTGGCTATAATTGTGTGTGCTAAGGAATGTAGGCATATCACTGCCCTGTGGACTTTATGATCCTGGTGGAAGTCAAGAAAAAAAAGACATAAAACCTTAATTTTGAGCACAAACAAAATTTATGGCATTATCTACAAAAAACTGGTAGGCGATGGGTTAGGCAAGACTACATTCTCTTTTGCTTCAAAATCAAGTGGCTGGCCGGGATCCACTAGCCTCTGCCTCCTGAGTGCTGGTGTTAAAGGTGTGTGCTGCCACCATGCCGGCTGTTTTTTGTTTTTTGAGGGGATGGTTTTTTTGTTTTAAAATAAAATTATAATTTTAATGTGTGTGTGTGTGTGTGTGTGTGTGTGTGCGCGCGCGCGCGCGCACATTACCTTTGAAGGTCATTAGAGAAGGTGTTCGATTCCCCTGAAGCTGGAGTTACAGGTGGTTGTGAGCTGCCATGTGGGTGCTGGAAACTGAACTCAGGTCCTCTGCAAGAGCAGCAAGTGCTCTTAACCACTGGGCCATCTCTCCAGCCCTTCTTT